GAGGTAGGCTCCCTGACCTCATGAGCGATCGAGTGTGGCTGGGCTTTGGAAGTGAGGGGGGGGGGAGATGTCTTAAAATAGAAACACATGGCAGTACACAGGTGAGAAGGGGGCGACCCAGGACTCCCCGGAGTGCCCCATGCTCAAACCACAATGCTTCCTTGTCTCAACCCCGCTGAAAAATGTTAGACGGTTCTCTGCGCTTCCCAATCCCGAGGTCCCCTCCACGTGGACCTGAAGACCCCTCGCCAGTCCCGATGGGCACCATGTCGCATGCCTGTGTGCACCCCAGCAGAGACACGGTGTCTGGGGACGTGCGTACCCATAGCGCGTGCCCCTCGACAGCTGCCCGCTGCTCACCGGCTCCTTTCATTGTAGCCACCGGGATGTTCTCCCAGCGCGTGGCATTTCCCAGACCTGGTGCGGCAAGTGGCTCAAGACTGGGGAGAGGAGACACGTGTGTGTGCGCGCGCGGATGATGGCTAGGCTTCTCCTGGGCCCAAGCAGGAGGAAGCCTGTACGCTTTCCATGTTGCGGGAGTGTCCACCGTCGCTGTCACGCGCAGCCAGCGCGGGACGGGAGATACATGGCATAGCCCTTGTGAGTGCGGGGGATCTGACCCTTAGGGCGGTGAGGGCTCGCGGGGCCACCAGCGGGCGGTGCGCAAAGCCCAGCATGCGCGTGCGCGACGACAAAAAAAGGAGGGAAGCGGAGTGTGGAGACCCCGGATGTGGGAAGAAGTGTCGAGGCCCCGGATATGCGACGCGCGGGTGGCGCGCGCAGGGTGGCACTCCTAGTTGAGTGGACAGTGCGGACTTCGCAGGCAGGTGAGGGACACTTGCGACAGGCGAGGACTTTGCTCCATGGTGCCCTAGAGACCCCCCAGAATGATCCCTCCCACCACCAGTCTTGGTGGTGGTGGTGGTGGGGGGGGTCTCTTTGGGCCTTGCACTGCGCAGGCGCGGCTCCCTCCCGGCCAGAACAAGGCCTAGCCACCCCCTCCCCAAAATGACCCAGGACCATCCTGGTTAGCACTTTGGGGTGCTCGCCATTTCAGCGATAAAATCCGCGCGGGTCGGGTGAGACTCAGGTGTGGGCGCGAGGCTGGTTCCGTCCTGGGAGCTCGAGGTGGGGCTCAAGGCCATCTTTGACTCAGTTTTCCCCCTCCCGCGTCCATCCGCAGTCGGGATGCAGGATAATGTGCACGAAGGCTTTGGATAGGAACATGAAGTTGGCTGTTCTGTTATTTGGGTTTCGCGGCAGTTTGGGGATGTCGATCCAGAGCCGCCCTTCCGTGCTGCATCGCGTGCGTCTTCGCCTCCAGACCCCAGGCCTCGACAGTGATCCCAAAGCCGCCTCTTTTGGGGGAAATAATGGCGGGGAAATTTAACCAGGGGGAGATTTTTGTTTGTTTCAGGGGTTGGCCAGGTTTGGGGGCGTTTGGCCTCCAGCGAGCACGGGGAGTGGGGGGTGGGGAGAGATGTGACTAAGCGACAGAAAATGCGCTGGGCTTTCTCCTGCCTTCAGGTCGCGAGAGTTGCGCAGTCTGTTAAAAAAAAAAAATTCCCCTAAGTCACTTATGATCAATACCGCCTTGCCTCGCTCTCGAGGCTCATTTCTTGAAGTTGGGGCGCTCTGGCCTCCCCAGCCATGGCTACAAGCCCAGTTGCAGGATATCCTGGTCAGGCCGGGAGTGGAAAAAGAACGAGTGCGCCGAGGCCGACTGGACCTGTTGGAGGAGGAAGCGACAGAGCAAAGCCACCCCAGGGTATTCAGAGAAAGTGCCCATAGCTTTCCTCTCTCCTATTCCCCTCTGAAGCCATCGTAAACTGACTTCTCACCACCCCAATTACTTAAAAGCGCTCTGATGGCGTTAGTTTTATTTCCCTTTCCACGTGCATGTGACTCAACCCGCTCCAACTGCACCCGGGGAGGTGACCTTGGGCAGGGGCTGACTTGGGTCCTGGATTCAGAGGCGGTCCATCCCAGCTGCCCACTCCCCGCCTCCCAAGATCCCCAACCACACTTAAGTCCTTTCCTTTCTTATTACTCACGTCTTTCCCTCTTCTGTAAAAAGACACTTTTTACATTTAAAGGAGTTTTATTACTTTTTTTTTTTAAAGAACGTGAGACAAGTTGAATGGAAGATTCAGGCTAAAAAAAATGGAAGGAAAAAAATACGTGTGGGCGACACTGCGTGGAACTGGGGAACGTTGTTTTCCCAGACTAAGCTTGCAGTGGCTGATTCCCTAGTAGAACCGGGCATGAGGCACCTGGGGTCCCCACTGCTGAAAAGGCACTACAGATATGCAAGGAATTATTATGATTTTAATAAAATTGTGTCTCATTTAGGAGCGCGCTTCTGCGCTGCCTCTGTCGTTGGAGCCTGGGTTTGCCACGGCAAAGTCTGTAATCAGAGAAAAATACCAGCTTTGTTGAGGGTTAGACTATATCATTGGCTAATGTGTGTGGTTTTTTTCAAATAATGCTAAGCATTGGAATAATTAAAGAGTGAGAAATAACTCGTCTCTTCTCTCTGCTCTCCATTCGGCATTGTTTTATTTAAAGGCAGAAAGCGCGCTTTTAGACAGAGCTGGTTAGTTTTAATGCGGGCTTTTTTTTCTCTCACCCGCCTTTCCCTTTGCCCGGGTCTGATTCCCAAATCCCCAAACTGGCAGAAGCTGGGAAACTTGCGACCACTTACAACTGGCAGGCAGCTCTTCTTTCCTGCCTTTGGGCCCTGACCCACTCCCTGGTTTGCACTAGAGTGATTTTAAAAAGAAAGAAAGGAAGAAAGGAGCCGGACTCTGGTACTCCGATGCCAGCCAAGGGTGCGTTTCCCAGGCGGCAACCAGGCTGGTGGGAGAGTCAAACCCAGTTATAGGAAAGTGGCCTCACCACTTGTCCCACACCCCCTACCCAAAAAGGATCAGGTGATCAGAGGGGTGAGATCCCTTGTCATATTTTAAATTAAGCCATTAAGCTGGATAGATTTTTGTTGTTGTTGTTCTAGCCTCATATGCAATAGGAAAAGAAAATGTGGTCCTAGAGAGAGAGAGCGAGCCCGCCTTGGCAGTCCCATACCCTTGGTAGGGGAGAGTGCTGCCCGCTTGGGCTGGGCCTGGCATCAGTGCCTGGGCAGTGCCCACGCTGCTGCCCACAGGGCCTGGATTTGCGGAGGAAGAGCACGGTCTGGGGCCAGTGGCTGGGCACCGCCTGGAGAGATGTGGGAATTGGAGAAGGGGCTGCTGAGGTTTGCTCTGGGCTGGTGGGGGGCGAGGTGGCTGCCTTGGGCCTTCCCCCAGGTGTGGGGTGGATGCTTGGAAGGAACTGGGGCCTGAGGAGGTCACAGCTCCCTGTGAGAAAGGGAAGGGAAAAGTGGGTGAGAAGGGGGCAGGGGCTGTACCCACAGGCGCCAGTGGCTGTGCAGTGCCTGCAAGCTGCAGAAGGAGTTATTTATTTATTTGCTTCAGGTGTTTTTAATTAAATGTGTTTCTCTCTTATTTTCCTTGTTATTCGGTGCTCAGACTTTTCAGCGATCCCTTGCATTTGTCTTTTTACATAAGCAGAAACTTTTTTTTCCTCCTTGGAGAGATATTGTGGGAGGTATTTGCCTTCAGTGCTTTCTCTTTCCTGCTTTTTTTTAAATTTAATTTTAAAATTATAAAGTAAATTTAGTGCTAGTGAAAGTGAGAGGGGGTGGGGGAGGCAGCCGGGGTTGGAGCCAGGGAAGGGGTTAGCACACACAAGGTTCCAGCCTCCCTTCCCCAAAGCAGCCTGGCCCTAGTACCGCAGGCCTAGCCTGCTGCTGCCTGCTGCCTGCTGCCTGCTGCCTGTTTCTTCTCTCTGCCCTCTTCTCTCTGTTTCCCCTCTGCCCATAATCTCCCCACAGGGATCTGGTGGACTGAGAGGGGTACAGCCTGTCCCCATGGTGCCTGTTCTAGCCTGTGGAACCCCAAGCTCTGCAGTTACTTTTCCTTCTTGACCTACGCACAGAGGCCCTCAGTTCCCACCTGTGTCTTTAGGTAGGGTGAGAGGAGGGGCCTTGTTCCCCTTACTCACTGGCCTTTGGCTTTTAGCTCTGGGGGTCCTGTTTGTGCCCCACAATGCCCTGCTAGTGTGCTAAACCCGCTGCACACTTGGTTGCCCTGTGTATGTCACAGTGACAATGAGAAGGGCTCTGATCCCCACTCACGGCCATGGTCATATGAGTAGCACATACTGCTCTATTACACCTGTATGCACATAGGTGATCACATCTGACATTGCTGGTGTTCGAAGGAGCTATTTTTAAGGCATATGGTAACTCTGTAAGCTTAAAATTTTAAGGCCTGTTCAGCAGTGCTGAAAGCGTTTATTTTTTCTTCTGGGTGGAGTTACATGGGTGTGTTCTCTTTGTGGACATGTATGGAGCCAGTGGCATACTTATAATGTGTGCACCCTTCTTTTTATACATGCATGCTTCTGTGAAAAAGTTTATTAGAAAAAAAGAAAAGGGAAGCCTTGGCCTCAAAGGTAAAGAAAGGGCTGTGCATTACCAAATAATAATAAAATTTAAATGAAAATGCCCTGCAGCCTGCTTCACTCAGCTCTCCCTGCTAGGAAGGTGGGAGGGCTTGTAAAAATTAGTGGGTCGATTTTAAAAAAAGCTCACAGGCGTGTGGTCCACGGGGCTTCCTGACTCTTCCACGTGTGAGAGGTGCTGTGGCCTTAGGTAGGGAGGTAGGATTTTAACATCTCAGGACCAAAGGATGAGAAGTGCTAAGGAGGAAGCTACTTGCCGATTACATTTTGCTGTCAACATCTGGAAAGCAAAGCTACAGCTGTTCTCCCTGCCCCCCGAGTGCCACCTCTTCTTTTTTTTTTCTGCACACTTAAATTTTTTTGTACGCTTGCCATCCATACTTCAGTTTTCTGCACTGTGAAAACACTTTCACGGCTCTGTTCAAATTGAGTTGTTGGGTTTGGACTCTTTTTTTTTTTTTGAAAAAAATATAATGCATCTTACAGTCTGACAGTATCATTTTTGGAGTAGTTTATTTGAGCAGGCCTGAGAGCCATCGCTAATCCTCTCCCTTTGCCTGGCTCTCTGTCTTCCCAGAGCTGCCCAGGCCTGAAGCTGGAGAACCCTCGGTCACTTGGGCTCTCTCTCTCTCTCTCTCCCCTCAGCCTTCGCCGCTGCCGGCCTCCCTGCTTTTGCCTCTGCTCCTGCCGGCAGGGCAGGTACCGACAGCATCGCTCTCCACGGCCCTTCTGCGGTGTTTTTGTTTTCTCTTCGCCCCCCAAAAATATTTGAACCAAAAAGCCTCTCTTTTTTTTCCTCCACCCACAGCAAACTGAAAGGGCTAGTGAACCGTGATTCAACAGAGCGAGGGCGCCTCTTTCTTTCTTAGCATTAATTAACTCAAGTTCGTTAGGACGTTGGGTCTGTCGCCCACAGTTTTCTCTTGTGTGTGCTGAATCGGGTCATAGAGGGAGACTTCCCGTGCAAACAGTTTGTGTTGGAGCTGGAGGACGCAGAGGGGGAGAGAGGGGGAGAAAGAAAGGGAGCCGAGGAGCGCGGGCCGAGGGTGGGCACGTCCGAGCTCCTCCAGGCCCTGGTGCCAGTCTCCAGCAGGGGCCAGGCACCAGGGCAACAAGGATTCTCGGGTTTCCTTGGCACTGATCCTGATCATAAAATAAACTGGGGGAGCCATACACTTTGAGGGAGATTGAAAAAATGCCCTTCTGACTCCTAAAATTGTACACTCGGAAAGCCAGGAAAGCCGCTTGCCCGGACAGGGTTGGCCCAGCCTCCTCCTCCAGAACCCTTGAGCGGTGAAAATCCCGGAGCTCCCGGCTCTGCCTGTTGCTGCAGCAACTTGAAGAAAGAGGCTCCCTCAGGGCTGAGGGTGCGTGCAGCCTGGCTGGGCACAGGGGGCTCAGAGAAGCCCTGCCTCTCCCGGCCTCTCTCCGGTGGCCGGGAAAGCAGAACCCACAAACTAAGTGGAGTAGGGGGAGGATTGGGACGGAGCCCAGTGGAGCTGGGAGGGCCACCACCTTTGAGGTCCCGTGATCCTTGAGCTTTGGTGGAGACCCCTGAAGAAGGGGAGCCACTGCCACAGCCGCAGGGCCTAGCACATTTCCTGCCTCTTGCCCGGTGCCCTGGCCTGGCCTTCTGTCTGACCCTCGGATAAGTGTGCTCAGCACAGCCCTCATTTCACTGCTGGACTTTCTTTCTCTTGCCTTTTGTCAGTCTTTCAGTTCTCCTTTAGAGAAAGTTGGGAAGCTGGCCTGTGGGGTTCCTCTGGGCCGCTGTGGAGTGACACTTTCCAGGTCAGCTAGGGTGTGTGAACCCTCACAAAGGCCTTGGCTGTCATGTGTCCTGCAGGCTCTGCAGAGGGTCCCATCTTCAAGCAGCCCATTGGCTAGCAAGAGGGCTTTGGCCTTCCTGGCTTTTACTTGTATTTGGTGACACAAGGAAGTTTCTAGCTAAATAATGAATTAAAGACTAGGGTTTTGTTTCCCATTCCCCACAGAGGATGAGATGAAAGTAAACAATTTCCAGTCGCACTAGAGAGAATAGCTCGTCTCCCCCAACACCTCCATCCCCACCCTCACTTGTTCTGTGCCAAGAGGGTGAGGGGAGATGTGCCTGGAGCTGGGGAGGTTCGGAGCCAGAACAAGGCTGCCTGTTGGCCTGGTCCCAGGCCACGGCTCCTGGTTTGTAGAAAGGAGGAAAAAAGCAGGGAAGGGGGAGGCAGTTTACAGGAGAGAAGTGTGAGACCTGGTTCTGAGACAGTCCCCAAGCTAGACCCAGCACAGGGGTGTGGGGCAAATTCATCGAGCCAGCCCAGCCTGAGGAAGCTCTCCAAAGAAGCCGCATGGTTGCCTTCCTGAGCAGAGGCAAACAGGCCCAAGTCAGCCAAAAACCCGCTTTGTCCAAATCAGCCAAGCCGCCTTGCGAAGTGCATTTTCCGGTTTCCATTCCTGGTGTTTCCAGACTGCTCGATGGTTTTGCTCTGGCTACAGATCCCCTTCCCACTGGCCCCCCGGAGAGGGGAGGCCCCACCCACCTCTAGGATCAGTGGCTGCCTGCTGAGTCCCTTCTCTTTCCTGATGCCAAGTCCCTTTCTCTGCCCCAGTCTGGCCACTGCCTTCTTGTGGCCTTCCACGGAGCAGCGATCCTAGGGCTGTGAAGCTGGCCGGTTGGTTGCGGTTCAGACCAAGGCTGAATTCTAAAATGCCAGGAATTAGGCTAACTCCATTTGGGGCCTTTTTAACTTCCTGCCTCTTTTCCCACCTAATCTGCAGGTACGCCAGTAGTAGAATGAATCCTGGAATAGCTGCTAATTTCTATGTAAGTCTTGTCGGGTACTTGCATAAACCCTGTGTACTTAATCCGACTCAGCCTGGGCCTACAGGTCCTAGATCTGAAAGAATCTATCTAGCCCAAGCCAGCAGGCCGGGACAAATAGGATTTTGGATGTTTTAAAGACAAAGAGACCTCGTAATATTGGCCCAGTCTTAAAAGACCCAACTTCTAGTGCTTCTAGATGTTTCACTATTGGTAGGTATTGGTAGATTTTGCTACTTGCAAAATCTGTCTCAGGCTGGGAAAATCATTTTGTTTCCTTGAAGAATTTTTAACACTGTGCGTGTGAGTGGGGTAGCAGGACATGTTTTTCCATTTCCCCTCAAATAGTCTGCAAGGCCTCCGTTGACAGGACTGTGTTTTGTGGCGTTTCTGAAACCCACATATTTCGCTGTTTAGAAGTGGTCATTTTCCTGAGCTAGTTCCCCCACCCAGCTCTTTTCTATCTTTTCTCCTTGCTTATTTTTCTTTCTCTGTGGCCTTCTGTCCCTCCATCTTCTTCCTTCTCCTCTTGCAGTTTTGAGCCCAGCTGGGCACCCAGTCTCCAGATTCACCTTTTGCCTCTCTTTCTTTCCCTCTTCCCCCAGTAATTCTCTTTCTCTGTGGCCTGCTTAGCCTTTTTCTTTGTGTGTGTGTGTGTGTGTGTGTGTGACACATTTTTCCTAGTGATGGCCGAATCCTGCATGGGTATGTATTTCAGTGAAAACTGTTGCTTTTTTTTTTTAAATACCAACTTTTATATTCTCATCAATAAAGAGAGAGGTCTTTCTTTCACAAAGGCAAAAACAACAACAAAAAAATTCCTTTCCGTAAACCAAAAGCCCATGTGGATTTCAAAAGTCATAGTTCTAGCTTCTGGGTTTTTCTTTCAAATGGGGAAAATACCTTTTGCCCCAATTCTTCCTGCTTTTTCTTTAATCCTTCCCGCTTGTTATCTTTAATTTTTCTTTCTGCTCATTCGACTCCGCTGGCTTCCTTTTCCCTCTCTCACTGCCTTTGCCCACTTTCCCTCTCCTTTTCCTGGGCGGGGGTGGTGAGGACTTCTGGTCCCCCCTTTTACTTTTTCCCTTTCTGCACCCTCACTCTTACCAGTGACTCAGACCTGGAAAAGGTTTGAATATTCTAGAGCTTTCTTCTATGCTCTGGTGCCAGGTGTGTCCTAGTCCTCGTCCTCCAGGTCGGAGGGAAGAAAGGAAGGAGGCTACAGGTAATCTTCCAACCGGAGCCTCACTCTCTCCTAACAAAAGGTGGACAGTCCCCTTTTGTCTGGGATTCCTGAGGGCGTATCTGGGCTGCTGTTGGCCACCAGTGGCTTGTGGGGCAGGAGGAGGGGGCTGTGAGGGCTGTGCTTGTTTTTAATAGAACCTGAGCAATTCTTACTGGAGGGAGGGAGAGAGGGGAGGGAGAGAGGGAGAGAGAAAGACACACACACACACACACACACACACACACACACGCACGCACGCACGCACGCACGCGTGCGCGCTTCTCCACTCCCTTCCTTAGCATGGGGAATGTGGGGAATACCTTACCAGGCTGGTCAGAATGGCTCCCAGGTGGGAGACAGCAGGCCCTATCACAGCAGCATTGAAGCCATAGCAGCATGATTGGGGTGAGGGAGAGGCTGTGTAGTATCTTCTGCTCACCGTTAAGGTCACGGCCCTTGGCTAAAGTTGACAGTTGTTCTCCCTTCTGGTTTCTCTCCAGGAAGGGCTTGTTGTACCTCTGCCTGAATCAGTGTCTGCAGGGACCCCACACTCCTCAGCCACTTCTCCAATCTGGGCCACTTCGTGGACCTTTGACCCCTCCCTCCCTTTGGGAGTGAGTCCTGCACATGTCCTTCCTATTTCCCTGACTTTCTTGGATCCTTCCAGTCTTGTCCCAGCTGTGGGACTGGAGCTCCCCTACCCCCACCCAGCTCTGGCTGTACCACCAGATCCAGATTCAACCATGTGGAGCCCATCTCTTCTACTGGCACTGTGGTCTGTGAAAAGGAGCGTGCCAGTATTCACCAGGAGGCTCGCATTGGCCAGTTTTCTGTCTAATATTTAGTATAATCAGAATACCAGAAAAGCACCCCATGCCTAATACAAACTTACTTGCAGCTTTTATGCCCCTCCCCTCCTTTTTGTAGCCCAGGCTGGCCTTGAATTTGCAATCCTTGTGCCTTAGCCTCCTGAGTGCTGGGATTATAGTCTTGTACCACCAAACCCGGCTTGAGCCTTATCTTGACTTTAGAAATTGCCTTGTCCAGGTAGAGAGGTAGGATTTGGTACCTCATGTTGCCAAGCTAGCATCTTTGATTGATTGGACCAAAGCAGTATGTTCACAGGACGTGAATTATTGAACACCACCCTAAGAGGCCTGTTGCAATGGCACCTGCCTCCTGCACTGTCCCCTTTAACTGTGTCTCCTGGGTCAGCTGTGAGCTTACTCTGATGGAATCACCCATTCAGATCACAGGGTCTCAGGTGCTGGGCGGCACCACTGCCATTGTGGTGAGTGTTTTGTTTGGGCACAGCTCAGGTGCTTTTTGGGGAACCTTTCTGCCTCTAAACAGAAAGGCCGTGGTGGAGCGGAGTGCAGGGTTTCAGGTGGGGAGAAGGGACCAGACTGAGTGAGCAGTGACCTTTTCCTTTGCCAGCTGAGGGTCCAGCCTGGGAGAGGGGCGAATAGGACCAGATCTGCTTGCTTATCCTCTCTTCCCTGCTCTTATCTTTCATTTCTGACTATTCCCCACCTTACTGCTACTCCAAGGCCTTTTTCCCAGCCCTTGCTGGAGAGACCCCCAAGGAGGTGGGGTTCTTCCTCCCCAGGACTGCCCTCCTCCTTCAGGAGCAGGGGCTCTCCTGGTTGATGGCTTCTCTGTGACTTGGTTTCCCCAGGTGACCTGGGTTTTCCTGAGGGGGCCCTTTGCTTTCTGTTTTGCCCTGTCCCTTTTCATCTAGCTTTCATTTGGGTTTGTCATTTTATGCCTTCGCACCTGGCACTCTCTTTGGGGCCCTTTCATCTGGATGGGCTTGGGGGGGACCGGTAGGAATGCTAACCTCAGATCAAGTGGAGAGGGCAGATCTGCAGAAAGGAAAGAATGAAACATTTTGGGGCTGGGGTGCAGAGGGTGAGATCAGAGGTAGCGTCCGCCTATCCACTCAGGGCTGGCTGTTGTGTTTGTGGCTGCGTGTAGTGCTTGTCAGCGGAGTGTGACAGGAGGCTATTTTAATAAACTTGCAGTTTTGCGAGCCGAGCTGCACTGCGTTGGCATCTCTCGTCACCACTAATGGAGTGTGCGTGGCTGGGTGTGGGCCGAGGGAGGCTGGGGAGAAGGGGGAGGAGGAGTGGGTGCCAGCTCCTTGTCAGGGAGTGCTCCCTTGTCTTGTGGAGGGCCAGACCTGGGCGGGGGGGGGGGGGGGGGGGGACACAGAGAGGGGTGGCTGCACCCAAGTGCCTGGTCCCTGCCATGGAAGTGCTGCTGGCATGGACACTTTTCTTTTTCTTTCTTCTTTCTATTCATAGCACTGCAGGCTCAGGCTTGTGTGTAGGGCCAGAGAGGAAAACTTCCACTTGCCCCAGTGTGCTCCATTAAAAAAAAAAAAAAAAAGAAGAAAAAAAAACCCCAAAAAAACTAGAATGAGAAAAAGAGTGTGCGGGCCTGAAAGACTGAAACCAAAACAGAGAGAGAAGGCGCAGCTGCTCTCCCCAAGGCCTTGTGGGGCTCCCCCCCCCCCCCCCCGCCAGCCCGCCCGGAGTCAGGCCTTTATTTATTTATTTTTCTGGCTTAAAAAAAAAATTCTGTGTCTTCCTCAATCCCAATCTCCCTCCACCCCCAAATTTGCTGGGTGGCTGCTGCCAAATGGACCCAAGTGGGAGGCTGGAATGAAAAATTCATAACTGCTGGACTTTGCTTGTTCATTAGACGTGAACTTGTCGATTGGGCAAATTGTTTTTGGTCTCCAACTGCCGGGGGCTCTCCCCACCCTCTCGCTCGCCCAGCTCCCTCCTCCCCTCGGATGCCGCCATTGGCTGTGTTCGGGTGTCTCTTTGCCAAATAGGTGGATCCTTTTCTCGCGCGCTTGCTCTCTTTCTCTCTCTCTCTCTCTCTCTCTCTCTCTCTCTCTCTCTCTCTCTCTCTCTCTCTCTTTTCCTCTGTCTCTCCCTCTCTCCCTCCCTCCCCCCTTTTTTTTTTTTTTTTTTTACAGGCTTGGCACAGGCAAATGGATGGGGATTGAGCATGAAAGGGGAGAGAGAGAGGGAGTTTGAGAGAGAAAAGGAGCAACACAAACCCCCCAACCCCAACCAGTGCTGGTACACACACACACACACACACACTCACGCGCGCGCGCACTCACATGCACACTCACACACGCACCCTCGCGCGCACACACCCCATCCCATCCACTTCCTCCCGGGATCCTCGATCTCTCCCTCCCCCCTTCCTTCCCTCCCTCCCTCGCTCCTGCTCTCTCCTTTCCACGCGTCTGCCAGCTACGGTCTGCAGCCGGTCAGAACTCGTCCTCTTTCCCGGGAATCCGCGAGCTCCCCCTTTTCCTCCCATCGGGGCGGAGGGAGGCAGCTCGAAGTTTACACCCCTGTGCTGCTGCCAAAGCCGAAAGCCTTTTTCTTCAGCTGCTGCTTTTTCCCTCCTGGTTTTTGTTTTTGTTTTTGTTTTGCACGGGTGTGGGGTAGGATGCGTTTGTGTGTGTGTGTGTGTGTGTGGAGATGGTGGGAGGTTGGTTTTGATTTTTAAATTTTGCATATTTTTGTTCTCTATTTTTTTTCCACTGGAAGAGGATGCATAAGGAGAGAAACTGAAAAAAAAATTTTTGTTGGCTTTTGTTTACCTGGTGTGTGTGGCAACCAGCTTGCTCCCTCTCTCCGCTGCTATCCTTGACCTTTCTTTCTTTTTGCTCCTTTTCAAAAAAAATATTAATTTCCCCCTTCTGTGCAATGGAGCGTGGGGGGGCGGAGGGGGAAGGGTTTGAGAATCCACCCAAGCCCAGCCCCTATTCCCCAGAACACCAATAATAACCCCTTTAAAACATTTACCTTCCTCCCCCTGCTCCTCCTCCTCCCCTCCCCCACCCGCCCCCAACTCACAACTCTGTTGAGTCCAGAACCTCAGAATCAGGCGTTGGGCTCTGCCGGGTGCTTCTGATCAATGGTAATTATTTAATTTTTTCCAGTTTTATTTTTGTAAACAGAAATCAGTTATTATTTAAACTTCAAACAAGCAAACAAGCAAAAAAAAAGAAAGAAAGAAAGAAAGAAAAAACCAAAAGCTGAGAGCCCAGCCCTCTGTCACCTGACTGAGTGGGAAAGAGGGTGCAGGGGTCTTGGGAGGCTGGGGAAGGGGCCGCAAGACGACCCACATAGCTTTTAACCCTAATGTGGCTGAGACCACCACATTATTTGTGCTAACAAGAAGTGTTTTGTTCATTAGTCCTGTGGTTAACAGTAGTATTGGTACTGATAGCAAAGCTGAAATCACATATTTAGGATTGAGATACGATTAAAAAATGCTGGGGCTGGATGTTCCAAGTGAATCAAGAGAAAAGAAAATGAAAACAGCCTGGGGAGAGGAGATCCAGAGCTGTTTCCTCGATTGCTCTTGGAAGTCATTTTCTGTCTTCCTGGGGGCAGCCAAAAATCCGCTGGTTGGGGCTAGGAGGCGGCCCCGCATGCCTGACCGGTGTGCACCCATGGGCTTCTGTGCAGATGGACACAGCGCTGGGGCAGCTGACCCCAGTTCATGGCTGGGATAGAACACGGAGATGGCATGGGCGCGACAGAGCCTGGCGGGGATACCAGCAGAGTGTGTGTGTGTGTGGACAGCAACATTGTGTGTGTGTGTGTGTGTGTGTGTGTGTGTGTGCGCGCGTGTGAGAGAGAGAGTGAGGGACAGAGAGAGAGAGAGAGAGAGAGAGAAAGAATAGGTGTGTGGACAGGCTCCCCGTGCTTGTCTGGCTGCTGAGGCTGAGATGGGAGCAAGTGGTTGGCATAGCTGGTGGTGGCTTCAAACCACACTTTTGTAGAACAATTGCAAGAGAAAATTGTTGGGGGGAGGGAGGAGGAGGAGAAGGCGTTTTTTCCTTGTGCCCCCCCCTTCTAACGCTGCTTTTCTCCTTCTCTCTTTCCCCCTCATCCCGTCTTCCCCTCCTCCCATCCTCCCTCGCCCCGCATGCTCCCGGCTTGCCGCCTGCAGGATGAGTTCCACCCGTTCATCGAGGCGCTGCTGCCTCACGTCCGCGCCTTCTCATACACCTGGTTCAACCTGCAAGCGCGGAAGCGCAAGTACTTCAAGAAGCACGAGAAGCGGATGTCGAAGGACGAGGAGCGCGCGGTGAAGGACGAGCTGCTGGGCGAAAAGCCCGAGATCAAGCAGAAGTGGGCATCCCGGCTGCTGGCCAAGCTGCGCAAGGACATCCGGCCTGAGTTCCGAGAGGACTTTGTGCTGACCATCACGGGCAAAAAGCCCCCCTGCTGCGTGCTTTCCAACCCCGACCAGAAGGGCAAGATCCGGCGGATTGACTGCCTGCGCCAGGCCGACAAGGTGTGGCGGCTGGACCTGGTCATGGTGATTTTGTTTAAGGGGATCCCCCTGGAAAGTACTGATGGGGAGCGGCTCTACAAGTCGCCCCAGTGCTCGAACCCCGGCCTGTGCGTGCAGCCACATCACATTGGAGTCACAATCAAAGAACTGGATCTCTATCTGGCTTACTTTGTCCACACTCCCGGTAGGTCGCTCTCAACCTTTTCCCTCATTTTATTTATTTCACTTGATGGCATTTGATCTGATTGTTGTTCCTTTTATTTCTAAATGACAACACACCATGGGCCTAACTAGTGCTGTGCGCCCATCTTGCAGGGGCCTGCATCACTTTCTTCCTTCTCCCTTCTGTGTCCCCCACCCTTTCTGTCCTCCTCTCCCTTGCCAAGGGACCCACCTGGCCTGTCTTTATCTTTGGACTGGATGAGGATCCAGTCACAAAGACATCAGGTCTTAGGACCAGGGTGCTCCCAGAATTATCCATGACCGTGAGAGTTTGAGAGGAAAAAGAACAGTAGCAAAATTGATCCTTGTTCTTATTTAAAATAAGTCAGAAGTAGTCCTATGTGTGTGTGAGTAGGGCGGCAGATACTGACTTTCCTGAAGTTTTGCCTTAAGTCCCAGAAAAAGCTGGATGGATTTGGCACAAGCCGGGTGACCAGCAGTTCAGAGAGGAACTCTGAAATCCCGGCATGAGACCAGAATGAATAGGCAAAGGGAAAGGAGGCAGCCAGGCAGATTCTGGGGCCCAGATGCCCAGGCAGGAGCTGTTTGGATGGGCCATCAGGGAGCATGTAAGTAATTTGGTTTCATAGAAGGAGTGAAGACAAGCAACTCCCCTCACCTTGTTTTGGCACAAGTGGCCCCAGGATGGATGGCCGCCACCAGCCACTGGTCACAGGAAGAGGTACTTCTACTGGGGGACACAGACGCTTTCCTGGGAGTAGGCCTGGCTGGGAACCGCTGGCTGTGGAAGAGGTCATATAGACAGACAGACAAACTGACAAGCAAACCCTGCAAAATCTCCTTTCCCTTTGTGTCCCCAAGTCCTTCTCTGGCTCCTCTTTGACTTTTAGAGTCTCTCCCTGGGTTTTGGGTCGGGCTGGGTTAGTGCTCCTCTCCGTCCTTTTAATTTTTTCCCTTTCCCCTTTCCCTTTTTATAATTTCTTTCCGCTTTTGTTTTCGTACAAATTGAAACAGAGATGGCTGGTTAATTTTTAGCCTCCACTCAGCTACGCCCAATTTACTGCCGCCTTTGAAACCTAAACGGGCGGCACTCTGTGATTAAGCAAGGCAGAAGTGTGTTTACATTATGCGTAACCAACTTGTAATGAGAGGGCTCCCAAACCTTTCCCTGGCTCTGTGTGTGTGTGTGTGTGTGTGTGTGTGTGTGTGTGTGTGTGTGTGTGTGTGTGTTCCTCCCCACCATTCCAGTGTTTTTCCCCTCAGTTCTCTTCTTGCTCTCTTTATGCGAATGTAAGAGACCGTGGCTTCGCTTCAACTCTGGAAATGATCTTTCCTGTGAGTGTGTGTCTCTGTGTCTTCCTTCCTGTCCATTCACAAAAAAGAAAAGCAGCCCACAACTGCTGTGGTCACCCCCTTGCCTGTTTGGGAAGTTGGGAGGAATGATATGACTAGATCCAGAAATAAAATGAGGGGGGTTTGCTTTTAGAAACATGGTCTCTCTTGCAGGGAGGAGCACTTGAGTATATGTTGGAGAGCTCTGGGGAGGAGAAGGTTGCACTTGAGGTCTTTCTTGCTCATTCCCTGTTGTTCTCAGAGATGGCTTTGGTGGCTGGCTTCAGGCAGTGGACACTGCCCTGAGCCCACCTTCCTTATTGGTCTTTCTAGGCCTGCATGACCATGAGGACCCTTCATACCAGAGAAGGAGGGCCAGTTGCAGGCCCTTCCCTCTCTCTTCACCTTTGATTTTCTATCATCTGTTTTCTTTCTGGAAAAGAGATTAAGGAAAAATAAAAGGTCACCCCTCATTCTGTGTCTGCACAGCAGGCCACAGTGGGGAGGTGGGAGCCTGGTAGTGTTAAGGGGACTGGTGGCCACCGGGAGCCGGCCAGTGTATCACCTGAGAACTACTTTATGGAGGCTTCTGCACCTTCCCATTTTAAAACACCCAGCCTGGGAGCATTTCTGTCTGTGAACATCCACACACATCTTCCGTTTAAGCTGGCTTCCTCTCCACCTCTATCTGGAGCCTGGTAGTTGAGTTGTTTCCCTGGCCTCATTCATTTTAGGCCAAATTCTTGACTTCTGCCCGTGTGGGGCTAAGGTAGAGGGAAGTGTATGTGATGAACGCCATATCCTGGCCAGCCTCTTGGCTCCTGGGATGACCAGGCAGGTGTTGGGGGACACAGGGCCCCATCTGCCCCCCAGCGAATGAGGTCATCTGTCCAGGAATATGAGTGAATTCACATCCCGTCCACTGTGTGTGGCCAAAGCCACCGCTGGCCTAGCTGAGCCTGAGTAGAGAACGGAAGACCTATTTTCAGTAATTCAGGCTGCAGACTTGAGACAGTTTCAGCGATGGTCAGATTTGTCTTGCTGGAGTGGCTGGAAATTGAGTGTGCCTTGCTGAAGGAAGCACGTAAGACTTGGTACCATTGCAACTCATGGGCCTCGTTGCTTATTCTTCCTTGGGGGTGGGTCTGGGGTCTTCAGGTGGCGTAGAGTGGACATGGCTTCCTCTTAGAGCCACCCCAGTGTGCTAGAAAATGTCTTGCCTTTGGGTGAGCCAACCAAACGGCCTTGATTTCCTGGCACCACTCTCTCCAGGCCTTTGCCCCGAGACATGCTCAACAGAGCCACCAGTACAGTATCCTGGGAGCTGGGGCCAGGGACAAGGCTCAGATGAGCAGTCCTTCAGAGTCTGAAAGATGTATTTCTTCTTCCCTTAAAATCAGCTGAAGAGCCAGATCTGGGCTGTGCAGTGGTGCTGGGTTTGATGGCATTTAGCCTGACTTGGCCACAAGTGTGGGGACATGGCTTCACTCCAAGTGCCACTGTTGCCCATGGCCTACATGGGCCCTGGTGCCTCAGAAGCTTCAAGACATAACAGTTGAGAGTAAAGAGCGAATGTGTGTGGGAGCCGTGCACAGCTCTACTCTCAGAACGCAGGCCTCAGAAACGTCCGTGAGGCATCTCCCTGCTGGGAACAGTCTGCATTCTGGAGGGGAGGTTGACACAGGAGAGGGTCAGAGAATCTTGCAGTAGGGAAGAGGATGTCTATTTCCTGTTAATGTCCTTCCACCCAAAAGGGTGTTCCTGAGGATATGGTCTGGCAGGGAAAGAAGGGGTGGGAGACAGAAGGCCTCTTCTTGCGTGAGGAAGGACAGCAACTGAGACAGACTATCTCAAAGTGCCTCAGCTCTCTGAAGGTGAGCTGGCGCCACAAGACCTTCCCTGACACCTATGCCTTGGTCCTAGCAAAGAAAAGAAATCCAACATGTTTTGGACAATATCAAATCTGTTGACTGAATGGAACTGCATGCTTCTCCCTGTTGGGTCAGGTCCCTCCAAGGGGGCCCGTGGTGGGAGCCCACAAGGTCCAAGTTTTTGGGTGGTGGCCTCTCCCTTTTTCCAAGGTCCTTCATGGTGGGGGACTTCATAGGGTATGACCCTTTCCCCGCACCTGTCACCAGTGCCAACAGTCCTGACTCAGGGCCGGTCTCAGTGCTACCCCTGACTGCACCAGCAGTAGGCTGCCTAGAAGGAGATCTAGGGTCATAGCTGCTCGATGTGCAGAGAAGGACTCTTGAAAAACTGAACTGAACAGCACTACCACACTGGAGAAAAATTCCGTGATTTCTTCAGTGCCAGCGGATACCTAGTCAATGTCCCCATTTCCCCCGTGAGCGCCTCGTTTTTTGTTCCAGTTTGAGTCAGAATCCAGCTAAGTCTTTGTGCATTGCTATGGTTGGTCCAGGTCCACCTCTAGGCAGTGGTGATGGTGGTCACTGTTGATGTCATTGTCATCTTCCTCTTCAGTCTTTTTTTTTTTTTTTTTGGTGTCATGGTGTTTGAACTCAGAGCCTCACAGTTCCTAGGCAGATGCTCTACCACTTGAACCACTCTCCCAGCCCTTATTTGTGTTGGGTATTTTCCAGATAGGGTCTCATGAACTATTTTCCTGGGCTGGCCTCAAACCTCGATCCTCCTTGATCTTGGTTTCTTTTCTGGGAGCTTTGGAAGTTGTTGTTGAAGGAACTGGTCATTTGTCCTGTGCAGTTTCCCCATGCAGTCTTTGCAGGTGGTGCTGCCCCAGGGCACTTAGTGACTGCTCTGAAAGGACATTCTGCTTGTCAACCCCCCACACCCTCTTGGTCCTGGGCATCACCTGTGGCAGGTGTCTGCCCTTTTACGGTGCAGCCAGTGCCAGTGGTACTCCCCAAGGCTTTGCTGGACACCCAGCCCATCTGGTAGCTCAGGTGAGAGAATGTGGAAGAGACCACCTTAGCTTGTCAGTGAATCAACTTACCACAAACTGTGTGCCACCGTACCCAGGGCCTCCTATCTTAAGGCCCAGAAATGCCACTGGTCTTCATCTTTGAGGCAGCGCCATCTGGTGCCAGGGCTAGCAAAGACCACGAGGCCTAGGAACCCAAATAGTGAATTAGCAAAATCTACAGATTATCTTTGAACTCAACCTAGGGTCCCCTTTAGAACATCCCATACGCAGTGTCACTGTCGCTCAAAGGTCAGCCTTGGTGGTTGTAACAGTCTCCTGTGCTCTCTAGATCAAGGATGGCTCACTGAATTGAGTCAGCTCATGGGTACAGACACTGGTGCACAGCAAGCCAGCAGTGGATGGCATTGGCTACAGTAAGGTTGTTATGATTTCTGGAGCAGAGTGTATCTCCCTGTCACCCTTACCTGTTGGTCTGGTTTGTCTTAAGGGACAGCCCGAGTGAAAGACAACTTCTCTGTAACACTGCAGCCTTTCACCCAAAGGCAGCTCTCACACCTCCCTTCCTCTCCCCAGGCAACTGTCGCCTCTCCAGGCCCAATTTCTCCAGTCCCGCCAGCCTCGACATTTGATGTGGCATTTAGTGCCCTTGCCACTGTCACCACCTCCTAGAGACCCTTGGGTTTGTCCTCTTCTTAAACTGGAGTGTTCGGAATGGATTACAGACCCCGGCTGACTCTAATAGCACCATAATTTCAAGGGCCTTC